GTTACTAAACAAAAATCTTAAGCTTTAGAATCTTCATTATTAAATGAATCAGCTCAGATTTTATTCGATAATTAGTTTTATTTTATTATAGCCCCTAATGTAGTCTAATGTTTAAACAAGGAATGACGATCGTAGGTGAAGGCATTCTCGGAATATTCAGGCTAAAATTTTTCCGACCGATGGCCGATATCAAGAGAACTGTTGATAACTGGAAAAAATTATTCAATTCTTGATGTTTACCATCTAATTTTATGGACGAATATTGAATTTCAGCTCTCTAACTCTTATTGTCACAGAATGCGACAAGTTTAAAAGAAAATCGAACTTGACCAGTTTACGGAAACAGAAAATGTTAGATCTCAAAATAAGTGCATCTCCAGGTTCCTCATCAAAAGTTATATCAGTGCAATGAGTTTTACGATAAAATCTCGTTCCACAATTGAATAAAAGGCGCTCAAAGTTTCAACTTTGACCTCAATTTTTTCGTGAACTATCAATCACAGAAAATTTTTAAAAGCGCAAATCGACTCATTTTTCGTTTCTCTACAAACTTACATCTTCTAAACTTCAAAGAAACTAATTTAAACCCGTTTTTGTCCATTTCTCTTTCAGTGTATGAGTAAATTTGTGCATAAATGCAACAATTGTGTTGATTTTGTGTTTTAGAAACCTTTTGGAAGTTGTTCTATGAAGAATAGCTATAAACTCGTTCCATTGTTAACTTAGGAGGTCATGTTAATCCAGCAGTTACATTAGGCATGGCCGCAATTGGTAAATTATCCTGGCTAAAGGTTCCTCATTATTTTGCGGCTCAATACATCGGAGCTTTTTTCGGTGCAATGGCTACTTATTTTGAAGCAATCACATCTAACTTTGGTGCCGACTTACAAACTGAGGGTGCAAATGCAACAGCAAGTATCTTTGGTACTTTTTCTCAATCAGAAGTCTCTGTAGGAACATGTTTTCTGGACCAGGTAACCCAAATCTTTCCATAATTTAATTACACACAAATGATAAAACTTCAACAGTCTCGCAAGTCAATTGCGCTCCATTTCAATGTTTTAATTTTAATGTCTAACTTTTCAACATTCAATATGTCAGTATTGTTTCCATATTTATAGATTGAACAAATGTACTCACGTCCTTACAAACCTCAGAGTCTCAATTCGAAAGAATTTTACCCGTTTTAGCCATTTTTCTTGCAGTAGCTGTTCATTTTGTGTCGATTTGTGCTTAAATGAGACAATTGGGTTGATTGTGTCTTTTTCGTAACAACTTTGGTTGACTAGAAATTTCTCAAACTGCCAACTAATTGATAAAATATGGCAAATTGAAACCCAAAATGTGCTAAGTAAATGGTGAAATGTTAACCATACTGTGAGACTTTTACTGCTAAACCATTACGAATACAAAGTGATATAAAGTTCACCATTTGAAACATTTTAATAAAAGCTGAACTTTTTAGCAAAACAAATTTACATTTTGTGAACTTATTATATTATATTTTTGAATACTTGAAAGTATCCTTTAAAAGCAAAGTCAGATTAACTTTGAGTTAACCTTAAACACATCAAGACTTATTGTTGAAAAGCAAAACAAACTGAAACATTTATTAGGCTAATAATGTCTCATTGATCAATACAGTTGAAACCAATTGCAGGCTTAAACTAACAAAATGAATTAGTAATTTGATTAATTTTTCATTCAATTCCAGGTTCTCATCGAAAATAATCATCCCAATAATGAACTTTTGGTCGTAACTGTCGTATTCCTTTCATTGCTTCAACAGATTGTCTAAAGTTTTTTGATGATCCAGAGCTTGAACGACGATCCTTTAATTTACCTCGACTTTTACCCTTCACATTTGTATTTCTCAAAATGTGTCCCTTTGTAGGTCGAGATGAAGTCAGAACACCAATTAGATCAAAAGCCCACTTAAAAATGGCAGGTGATGAGCTGAGGACACTAAAGCCAAACCAAGTACCCAAAATGCTTCCCAAATAGATTAGATATTCAAACAAGGGCAATTTCGGTAAACAAGAGTTGGTAATATCGGGTTCGGTAGGCATTGAGAGACACAGAAGATCAGATGAAGAATCGATTCGAGCAACCTTTTGAATTCGAGGAACAAAGTATTTCTGTCTACAATCAGGAGCCCAATGCAACCTGCTGCAATTGTCGTAAATCTCATTGATCACCTTGCGCCTTCGCGGGTCACCATAGTTGAGATAATAATCCGAGATGCCGAGGCGAGCATTTGAATTGGCATTCATCACATCGGAATAAAAGCCACATCCAAAGCGTTCCAGTGAAGCATTGTTGCGACAAGCTTCCAAAGCATGATTCTGCGACTTGAACCCATCCAGAGTATAATTTTTACACTTGGTGGTGTAAGGTGGAGGCAACAGGTTGGCCTGGAATCCCTTGTATTCAATGAAAAATTTGTGCGAATTTTCTTCGGTCACAATGGTTACTGAAGACATTTGCGTTCCATAGGGAAGTGTTCCCGTTGGATGAAGGTAAACATAGTACTCTTCAGTGGTGGCAAACAGTTCATGGTTGAAATAGATTGCTATCACGGTTCCCAGGTATTTGGTCAACTCCAAGTCTTTTTGTTGAAGCTGATGGTAAGAAAGGATTGGACAGTTTACCGTCATACAAATGTACGGTTCTTTGACTGTTGTTTGAACCGAGCAATCATTGACATCGTCCAGGTTTACATTGTTTACCAGATCAATTTGTCGTATTGTGGGCACAACCTTTTCAATTAGCTGATGAGTTTCAATCATTGTCTCCATCATTTGGCTAACGGTGAGACGGGAAAACTCAACGGTTAAAAAGGTGATTGCATCGGATGAAAATTTCCACTCGTTAAAGGTACTTTGATTGGTGACGGTTGGAAATTTGCTTTTAAGACGGGCAAATATTTTCGGCTCTTTACCCTTTAGGTTTGAATAGCTAACAAAATTGTAGAAGTAAAGGCAAATAGATAAATCAGGAATACGAACAACATCGCTAAATTGGATTCGGATATCAGTGATTACCTGTTGCTCCAAGTAAACCGTTGTAACCAAAATGGTCTGGTAAATGCAGCCAATTGTTGCACCAATCAGTATAATTAGATCCAATATGTAGTACCATTGGGTTTTCTGGTTAAATAAGATCACTTTTTGAGTGGACAGTTTACACTTTCATTTTAATGGTTAAATTTTATACTTACTTGAGATTTGGGTTTGGAAGCCGGTTTAGGTTCAATTGGGTTTCCAGTATTTTTCCAGTCTGATTTCATCTCTTGAACATTACTTAATTAGTCTCTTCAACTTGCAACAGTCAACAGTTGGACAGCGATTTCAATCCATTTCCTAGTCAGAAGTCAATTGGCCTTGTTTTTGTTCCTCATTTTTGGTAACAATAACCAATTCAATCAATCTAATTACTAGACGTAAACCATGTGCAGTGAAAACAAATCAATTTCGTGTCCGTATTTTTATTGATCAACCTTTCCCACTTCATTATGATTTACTTTTATCATTAGCTAACCATAAATAGACTTTCTGGTTTTGAATAACTCGGAAAATGATTTTCTAAATTAACTTTAAAATGAGTTACACTGAAAGAAGGTTAGAAAAACATCTTTAAACCAGAAATGAGCTTTGAAAATCACCAAGGAATACAAAGTAAGTCAAGTGGAGCTGGAAACTAGAAAAGATTTGCATTGCTCGATTTCAATTTTTTGCCATTAATACAAATCTTTCGAGCAATTTTCTCCATTTCTTCAACTCACACCAGAAAATGTAAATTCTGGTAATCATTTTCACCCAAGTTGATCATTAAATCCTTTAAAAAGTCGATCAACTCCAGCTAATTGTCAGCAAAATAATTGGAAAACAGTTGTTGACCGAATCAAAATCTCTAATCTCTAAAATTTCTGGTTTTATTTTTCTAAATGCTATTCAACAATTAAAATTAAATAGCTCGAGTTATAAATATTTAAGAATCTTTCCAACTACAAAAATCTAATATTCATGCTTTGTCTACTTAATTCACCGAGTAATCTTGGTTTCTGACTGACAATTCATAATTGGGTTGCCCATTCAATCAACCCAAAAACACTGTTATTGAGATCAAGTTTGAACCATTTTAGATAAAATTTGGTTTCTTTAAAACACTTTTCAATAATAAATTTTGGATATTTTGTACCATTTGTTACCATTAAATTGTTACACTTTTAGGTTTTTCATGTTTTACTTTTTCGTCTTCAATTGACTTTGATTTTTTTATTAATTTTTTTCCCCAATTTTACATTCATTTTACGCCGGAAGAAACTATTAATGGTTCCGTTTGTTGCCAAAAAACCAATCATCAACCAGTGATACTTGAAACATCCTGATCATAATGGTTATTCAACACTAGAAATTTAACTCTTTTTTTTCTCAAATTTCATCCCATTCTCCATCAGCATTTACTGAACAAATTAAAACCGGAAATTTTTGTCCTTAACAAGTGAAAACGAGCAAAATCCTTCATTTTTTTCTTCTTCCACTTTCACTTGCACTTATTTGATTCTGGAAAAGGTTCATTAATTTTTAATCACTTAACATGATCTTTATCCTTGAACAATATAAATCTTTCAACTTGAGTTTAAAAACATTGAACAAACATTCATAAACGGAACTGACATTTGCTTGTTAACGCACAATTTAATATCTCATTGAGGTGAAACCTTAAAAGACAGAAAACTGAAAATCTGTTAATCTATTCATTGTAATCAAGTTTACCTTTATTGATTGGACCATCTTCAATCTCGAGTGAATACTTAGAAAGGTAAAAGACAATCAGTAAATTGATGATTACCGTTGATTTATATTACACTGTGCGTCAATAATGAGATTACCATTGAATCAACAATTGAAGGTTAATTGGTGAAACAAAAATATCCAAATATCTTATAAACTAATATCAAAGTAATACTATTATTAGATTGAAATGTTGACCATTTACCAGGATTTTTGTATATGCTTGATCAGTTTCCATCTCGAGTCCACTTCAAATGAAAATGCAAACATTTGCCAGACAAAATGATTAAACTTTGATGGATATTAAATGATGGGCAAAAAAAGTCCACTATTTGCCTTTCCTTAACAGTTGATCAATTATGAATTAACAATCATCATTTTTATAACATCAATCATAGGCTGGTTAAGGGACAAACAACATTGAAACTAGTTCAAAATGTCAACCTTAACATGTCTAACAACCTTTTTCAACCCAAATCCAGTTAAATATTTCAACCTTCATTAACTCCCAGTGGTTAACTCCCAGTCAACCGGGACTTGATAATCAACATCAAGTAAGGGACAGAATTACCTGTAACTTGTTGAATAAAATCAAGGACAGGTAATAGATCTTGCTTTTTTCACTTCAACTTTCAATTTCACCAAATTTCTGCCTTTAATGTGAATTTCATCTCAGGTTTACCATAAGTTAATCATTTATCAAACTAAGCAAGTCACTTTCACTTGAGTAAAAGGTTTTGCGCAAAAATTTTCATCTTCATCTTCATCTTCTTGATCATCTTCATCTTCTTGATCATCTTCATTTTCTTGATCTTCATGATCTTCTCCATCTAATTATATTAATAAAAGAATCATGAGAATAAGAATTTGTTTTTATCTTTCAAGTCTATTTACCATTGCAGTTAGGCATCAAGTTGGATAATTTTCAACCTAGCGAGTCCTTCTTGTAGCATCAAATTGAGCTTGCCTTAAGACTATTTTGTCCATGAAATGTAATCATTTTTGCCATCAATCTAATTGTTTCATCTTGGTTACAATTAGAGATGACAAGACTTGAAACAAATGCTGAAAGGTTTGACACTAAGTGAAGTTGAAAATGAAAGTCAATAAGGGTAACCCAGAACAACCTGGTTGTTACCAAACATAATATTAAAACAATTCAGTGATAATAAGCGATAAACTCAGGGTCATGATCAAGGGTAACTGATTAAATCAAATCGATTTCAAATTGTGTTCCAATCTTTTCCATCTTTTCTTTTTCCCTTTCCAAGACTTGCTGCCTTTCAAACTGTATATTGATCGCCTATTGATTAGCCAAATATTACATGTATTAATATTGTTTACCAGGTTAGAAGATTTCAAGATTCATGGTTAACAAGATAATTTAAAGTTGCTCAAAATTTTTCAAGTTCAATAGGTTTCTTTAACAGTCTCATCTTGAACAATTTAAGCTGATTCCGTAAATACCAAAAATGAAAGCCAAAAAAAAAACCATTGAAAACTTGAATCACATTGAGATTGAACGAGAAAAAATGTGCAAATTACATCATGAGATTACAATACAAACATTGTTCAGTCAACTATTAATAGCAATCATTTGGCTTGTTTCACTGCTTATTCATTATCCGTTGCTTTAATGAACATCATTAGATAATTGTACCAATAGTTAGACACAAGATTCAAGATAATTATGTACCAAAATTGCTATTACAAAGTAAACCAGACAAAAGAGAGGTTCAACAATGGCGTTGCATTTAACCGTTTTCAAGCATCTAAGGCCATCCAATTGAACATTTACAATCAATAGTAAATTTTCGAGTTTTAACTCAAAAAATCAACTGTTTAATGAATCTTCTTGAACTTGCAGAGAAGGAAAAAAATGACGGAATCTCAATCAATATGAGGTCAAGTTTAGCCTTTTAGCTGATGATGATTAGTTTAATAAAACAGCTTTCAAATAAACGATCAGGATAAATTAAAATTATTACAACTAATCACATTATTGACCCTGAACCAGAAACAAAAAGCAAAGGTTATTGTAAAATCACTAATATTATCCTAAATAGAGAATCAACAATTGTAAACAAATCAATTGTTAAACAATTACAATTTACAGTCTTCAGTTATACAATTGAATATCTCTGTTAATTTCAAGATTTTGCCTTCCAATCACAGTTGACTTTAGACTCGGTGTTTCTGGTAAAATGGTCAACATCATGATTCGGATAAATGAATCAGTCACAGTGGTTAACATCATCAGATTTGGAGGACCCTTAATTGTCAATGGCACTGATTCAACTCATCAAAAGTACAGCGTTGAAGCTAAGAATATACCCGTTCTGAGAAACAACAAGATGTAACATTTTCCAAACTCCGTGATATTTAACCAGTAAATCAATTGATTGTGAATTTTGTTTGACTTTTATTAACTTGGATTGTCTGTCATTGATCCTAAAAATCTGGTAAACTGGTAAATTTTGAAATAACCAAATCAGGTTAGTTTGAATGTTTGTTTCTGTTTCATTGGCCATTGAGATTTGAATGTTGACAAGTTTACTGAAATTAATCTAATAATGAAAAGCTTGTGATGACCAGACACAGGTTTGTTTCAATTTATTTTGATAATTGAACCAATTTGGAAAGATTGTCTTTTTCTTGTCCATTCACAACAATTTAGAGTGATTTCAGCATTAATCTGTTCATTGTCAATGAAAATTATTGAAACCTTTGTAAATCTATTTTCGGTTGGCAAATATCCAGTGTTGTGAATGACAATGAAATACTGATTGATTTTATCCAATTTTGTAGCCAAAAACAAAGTTAACAAAATCTTATTCAAGGTTTCCGTAGCTCATCTTGATCGGCTTTAAACCAACGCGAAATGTTCATTGAAGGTTGATCATTGTGATCATTAACTGTTAACATAGTTACAGTTAATATCCGACTTGCAAAAATACTGGAAAAGATTGAATTAATGACAGTTTAAGCAGCCATTCACAAATTTCAAGATATTTATTCTTGGGACATGTTTGGGTGTTTTCTTGTTGGATTTTCATGTGCAAAAAGGTTAATATTAATAATTTAGTGATGAATAAAACTTCAATTTTTGGTAATTTTTTAAAAATCATTATATTTAAATCTCTTTTTTCATTTATATTTTTGGTTTACTATCAAATCTTTCATAAATCTTGTTGATAATCATCACCATCATCCGATGATTTCTTGGTTGACTGGATTTAACTTTATCAGATCAACATATCATTATTTATCATTTATTACCTTATTTATTATTATCATCTGAATATGTAAAAAGATTCTGTCATGGAAACTTGGCACTTTCGAATCTTAAAAAAATTTTATTCATCTTTTTATAGCTTCAACTCTTTTATTTTTCTGGCACCTTGTTGAGATATTAATAAGTAACATTGATTTGTATTACATCAATACTTGGAATGATTACTTTAAATAGGTTTCCTCTCAAAAAAATCAAATTTGATTACATATGATGGGGAAAATCAAAGTGTCTACTGTGATCAAAGGGATAGGAATTTTAAAAAAAGGTAATTTCTAGTAAAAATAACAGTAAATGGACATTTTGGGTTCATTTTTTTCTGGTTGTTTAGATTCATTTAGATACCAGACAGAATATTTGGAGATTTCATTTAAGATGGATAATAATGATAATGATAATATTAGCAATAGTAAAATGATTCTCAATGAGAAATTGTCGATAGAAAAATTGTTGTTTTGTATTAATATTGATGTGCATGAGATGATGGTGATGATGGAAATGATTTTGATTAAGTAGAGAGATGAATTGTCGGAGATTGAGAGGTTAAAATATTTATGTGGTCTTAACGGCGTCAAAAACTAATTGCTTCCTTATTTAAACATTGTCACTTGTCGCTGTTTGCTCTTCAATTGGACTTAATTTGACGACTGAATCTATTGCCAGTAACCTATTGAACGGGAATAAGCTTTGTTGGTTGAAAACCCGATGAGTTGGATAGGTGAGTCCTGATTTAAGGTTTTCACTATCATTACTGGTGCTATTGTTGCAAAGATTAACATTATTATTGGAGCCAGAAGCGTTTTCCATTATGCACAATGATTGACGGCGCAAAATTGGATAATAATTGTAATTTTGGTGAGCAGGGTTGAAGTGACTTGGATATTGAATAGATATTGATGGATGTCCATAATTAACTAAAAATGTTGGCGACCAATTTGCTCCTAATTTACCATAATTATTGTTGTTATTGTTGTGGATGGTTGTCGTGGTTGTTGTCAAAGTGTTATTGTTACTTGATGAACCAAAAGTAAACCAAAAATCAGATCTCACTCGTGGAGATGTTTGAACGAGTATTGGACAAGAGTTACGTCGACCATTGTGTGATCTGAAAAGGCTATTCTGAGATCCTTGGGATCGAAGTGAGAGTCTTCGTTCAATTTCAAGAGAAACATCCTGTTTGTACAAATAGCGATGAAGTAAACGTTTAAATGTGGTTCGTATGAGGCGACTTTTAACACCATAAATGTACGCATTAATGGTTGGCATCAGGGTTAGGCACAGGGTTACTAGTGAGATTATGTAAGGGTCAATGAATATTTTATCGAGAGATTCCAGGCAAAATATAATGTAGTGTGGCGTTGTAAAGAGAAGTAAAGAGCCAACTAGTTGAGTAACAGGAAGAAAAGCGTCTTTACCTCGACGGCGAGATAAGGATTCAGCAGATCGACTTTTTCCAGAAGATCCAGTTGGATTGGATTGAGACAAAGGTACAGGTGGACATGATTCAAGTGTACAAGTATTAATTGGGTTGTGCGGAGGAGGATTTGTTGGTAATGGTGAAATTGGAGATGATGGCAAGGGTGAAACAGTTGGTGGTGAACCTGGACTAAGTGAGGTTGCTGTTACTCCTGTTGATTTAGCATTGGATGAACCGCCACCACCTCCTGCTCTTAATGTTATTTCATAGATTGCTGTAATTATGCGATGTCGATGATCCTCTGCAATGAGGAGGATGTGAAAGTTACAAATGGTTATGGCAAGGAGTGGTAATAGGATTGAGAAAAGTATATAAATAACAATATAAACAAGTCCAAACCACGGGTAAGATGAGGTATCACAGGTAATTGTGGCCGAGGAACGGTAAAGACTGTAGGTGTAACTACAACCTGCACTTAAAAGAGGTGGAAACGCTAAAGTCAAACCCATAAGCCAGGCCATTAAAAGGGCTAATGTTGCTCTACGAGTGGAGATGAGTCGTGAATAATGAAGTGGAAATGAAATGGCAATGTATTTGTCTATTGTAAGTCCGGCTACAGTCCAGACAAAAATAATGGGAAAAGCAGTCCAAAGGTAGCCCTGGAAATTGGTGACTAGAGAGAGTAAACTGAATGGAGTAGGAACAATTATCCATGATGAAGATGAAGGCGAAATTGAAGATGATGAAGCTGCTGAAATGGTTTCCCCTTCAGATGCAGTTGGTATAATTGAAGGTGAAACATCAGCTGAGATTGTATTAGGAAGCTCAAAAGGTGAATCTGTTTGCTCATTTGACGATGGCGCACGAAATGTTGGAGATAGATCAACCCTTTGTTTTACTAGTTCTGAATTTGAAATCAAAGCATCAGTATAAGATGGTTTATTAATTTGATTCAAGTTCCCATGATCATCAAGCATCCAAGGTGGTGTTGGTGGAGGTTGCTCTTGTTCAACAGTTGGTTGAAATGAATTTTGCTCACTATTTGAAGATGCAGAAATTATTGGTGAAGATGAAGCAGATAAAGATGTTAATACTAATATTGGCGAGGAAAGCGATGATGATGGTAGCGAAGATAAATTAGAGCCAATGAAGATGCTCAATGATGTATTACCAAACAATACTGTGAGACAAAAAAGTATATCGACTATGGCAAGGTTCAGTAAGAATAAATTGTTTGCATTTTGAATGCGCTTTTGCCAAATCAAAACACTTAAAATATAACCATTGAACAATAGGCCACTGGTTGCTGCAAAAGCTGAAAGTACAGTTTGCACCACGAACAAAGTAAACATTGGTAGCAACAATTTTCATACAATTAAATAGACAGCAAAAACAATTAATTCACCCACAAAAAGATGATTGATAATTTTTTTTCCTTTTGGTTTATCCAGTTCTACTTTTTTCCTGCATTTGTTTTATTGGCTCTTGTTTACACGATGATGGATTTCAATACCTTTCCTCTTCAACTTGTTGATTGATGCTTGCTGGTTCACTGCTTGTTGTTGTGAATATTGTTGCTCCTGTTGATCTAATGTTACCTTGCTTACTGTTTAACGTTGACGACTTGCTTGTGTGAAGTAAAAATTGTAGTCGGTTGAAATAAACACAAAAAAGTACAACACAAAACTTAACCCAACCGTTGAGGTAACGCTCTTGTTGTTCCGGGTTGACGAGCTTGGAGAAATGAATAAAACTAAGAAAATGTGAGAAAAAATGTCCTTTTTTCTATTTCTTGTTCAGTTTTTTTCTTAACTTCTTGAGGTAACTTGTTAGCTGGTTATTTTACCGCTTCCAATAACGTCGAAATTTAGTTTACCAAGAAAAACTTGAATAGTTTTCTAATAACTCGGTCTAACAATTTAACAAACAGTGAGTCAAACAAAATCACTTGTCAGTTTAAAATTTTGTCTTTTTCCAGCTGTATTTTCCACTTTAACCAAGCAACCCAGTTAAACGGTTATCAGCAAAATTATTTGGTTTTATCCTTTGAATAAACAGGGTTTTTTGGGTTTCCTTTGATAAGCTTTTTTGTTCATGGATTCAATAAGTTAAAACAGGGCACAAAAAGTTATTATCGCAATGTTTAACGTTTTTTAAAGATGGTTTAGATAAAGATGGCGACAAACAATGCAAGAGATTAATCACGGATCACTTTAGATATTCACACCAAAAAAAAGTTTCTTCTTCTTATCAAACAGCAATCTTGAAAAGATAATGTTTTGTTTCACAGCAGATGAATCACAGTTTGTTTCGTTCTAACGTCTTCAATTGGATTGCAGTTTTGTTACTAAGGGCAAATGTTTAGCTTCAAACGGATGAACTGATGATCTAGTAACTTCCTTTGGACTTTAGCTTTGTTTGTTTTACTCACTTTTGTTTCTTCTTTTTCTTGTTCGCTCTTCTTTTTTTCTGTTTAGTTTCTTATTTTTCTTTCTTTTCTTCTTTGCTTCTTCTTTCTTTCTGCTTTACTTTCTTTTCTCTTGTCTCCAAGGAGTCAGCGAATTTTCTTCAGAAAGTGACTTGAGGTTAACCTGAGGGTCTTTTCGGCCTTTTAAAATGACCTGGAACAAGTCAAGAGAGTAACGCAGGAACGAGTCTTTATGGGCCTCAGAGTTGTGATAAAAATGGATTTTAATTTTTCTTTTCTGTCAAGATGCAGGGTAATGGTGATGTTGGTCAAGAATTTTGATCTATGTCGTTCTCTTTAATTTTAATTACCTTTTACGGTCAAAGATTTCTGGTAAAATATGCAACTGGACAATCTTGGTTCAACAGTAGTTCTGGTTGTTGCCTGGTTTGTCGACAATTGAAACAACAGTTAGTAGTTTGAAGTATTTACAAATTTACTCTCAACTCCATTAAATTGTCTCATTTTACTGCTGACCAATTTTCTGATGATGATATTTAGGTTGAAGGTATTAAAGTACTTTTAGACGGAAGAAGCTATTGATTAATCAGTGTGTATAAGGTCACTTCCAGTTGATTGTTAATATCGCTTTTTAATTGATGGTTGACGGTGAATGTATAATAATTTAGATCGCTTTCTACTTTTTATGATTTTATCCACTTTTTCCTTAAAATTAATGTTTTTGTTTTTTACCTTTACTCTTTTTTACATTACAATCGCTTTATGATGATAATGGTGATGTTGTTGTTGATGATGATGATGATAGTTTACTATTGTTGTTTATAATATTGGCCAAATAATTTCCAACCGATTAACAATTGTCACTGGTTGAGAAAGAAATGGAGTGAACCATCAATGACAAAATAACATAAATTGTTTTTGATTACTTTTTGTTTTATCTGTGCAATTATAACGGTATATTTATAAATATCTTTGTGTTGCAAATTAATTGTTCACAGTAGATCTCAATTGACTGGGAATAGAAATATAATTTACGATAAACTTTAATGGAATCCGAACCATCAACGAGTTAAGGTGTTGTGTGAAGAGCAGCGAAAAGATAAAACAGGTAAAATCTGGTATAAATCTCTTGAAGTTTAACTATCACAATTTACTTTAAATATAATTTGATGGTTAAATTTTTGTTCTTGCCGTATATAAATAATATCTTAAATGGCCAGTTTAATTTTTTTCATTGTTGATGATGATAATTTACTGGTAATGTTAAATATTACTTCACAATTATCAGCCAATTTAAAGTAACAAAGTTGATTAATAAGTAGTAAAAATAAACTGGTAAACCTGGAAAAGCCGTTAAACATTTGTTGTTACCGTTGATTCCTCTCATTTAGAGCACTTGTAATAACACTTATAATAATTATAACCATTTGATGATTGTTGAATCCATTATTGGTACTGGAAAGATGCGAGAATTAAGAGTTCCAACAAGAATCAAGATAAAAAGGTAAATCACAAAATAGGAGAAAAGAATTTGAAATGAAAGCAAAAAGAGAAACAATTTTCAGCCAAACATTACAAAACAAGGTTCATCATCATTAATTGTTGGTAACGTTGATTAAACTTTTTATAAATAAATTGTGGTTCACATTGTGTTTCAGTTGAAACATTAAATATCCGTTGCAAGTTGAAACTCATCTGATTTGAACTTATATTTAGAGAGGCAAGGAGAGTGAGATTACAAGGGAGAGAGAACAGTAACTCCAAGCAAAGGTAATGATACTGAGACATGAGGGAGACATGGAAGACAGAAAAGAAAGAGAAAAGAGAAGACAAAAAAAGTGCAGAAAGAGACAGACAGACTGGCAGACAAACAGACAGAAATGGATTGAGCCTGAGCAACAGGTCATAAAAGTCTTCGTTGGATAAGCTTAAAACGCCAATCTTTACCAATTTTTTTACCTGATTATCTGATTATGAAAAACCTAAACACCCAAAAATTGATACACCAACATGATGACAATCAACACCAAAAACATCATCAACATGATCATCACCAGAGTTGAACTTGTCGAGTAAAATGACAAAGCAGTTAATGACGATTTTGCCTGTTGAAACATTAAAGTTGAAGGTAACATTTAGCCTGTTGTCTCATTGTCTAATGAAATAATCTGTTAATCACTTTAAAAGTAGCAATTGACTTAAACAATTTAACTTCTTTACTTTTAATTATTACATCAACATCTTTAATATTTAGTAAATACATTTTAAAGCAATCAGTTTGTTTCCATTGTTAACTCTTTCGGATTATAACATCGCAACTGATTCAATCACAATTTGATGTTCCTCTGATTTTACTTGACTCGATAAATCATTGTTAATGTTTATCAATTAATAAACTTTATCATCACCAATTGACATGAAATGTGATACAATTGATTGTCAATCATTGAATTTAATCAAATGAACAGCTTTGTTAAACTCATGTCAAGCTGAACATTTCATTTAAATTCAATCACTGACATTAAACTTGAAATCTTTGCACTTCTTCATCACCATTAGCATCAACCTGTTGAAAGCTTTATAACCAATAATCAGTAAATTTTGTTCTGTTAATTTGAATTCTCAATCATGATTAACTTGGTTCAATTGAGCAACGCGAGTTACTCAAATGCTTAGCTTTGTTCATGTAGACTTGACTGGAAATTGAAAAGAGATTGAAATTGTTGGAGAAAAATGTAAATAATTGAAACATTTCAACACAAAAGGTGACAATTAACATCAATATTAAACAAGTTGAGGTCAACAATTGCGAAGACTCTAATTGTATCAATAATTGATTGTTAAAATCAACTGTTAATTTGATATGAAACAATGAAACATTGAACATTAACTTGAGCAAACACAAAAAGTCAAAATGACTTTTCACTTTTTTTTCATTTGATTCACTTGACACTTAAACCCAAACTCACCCAAACCAAGAGTCACTGAGAACTCCTTCACAATGAACCAAATTTTTCCATCAAACTCATGATTTACCTGAGTAATAATTGAAACTGAAAATTTAACTCATCACAACCTACACATAATTAAACCAGAAATTAGATCAATCAAATCAAAGTCAAAAAGCTCTAAGCTAAATCATCATCAAATGTACCAAAATAAACCTGAAAATTGATTCCTCAAAACATTTCTCAAAATCTGATGAAAATATTTCCAAATCTCTTCAACTTATCTCAACAAAAGTATTCAATTTTCAAGAACAACCTCAGAATAATCATGAATTCTAGAGTCTATCAATCGAATACAATAAAAGTCTAAAATTTACAGAAAAAAGAATCAAAATTTTCAATCAAAATCCCCAAAAGCTCTTTCAATTCAAGTTAAGATAAAACGTGGAAAAACTTCTCGAAATTCATCGAAACATCGGAAAATTATTCAAGAAAAAGTTCGAATCAAATGCAGAATCGATAAAAAATTGAAGAAATTTTAAAAACCAGAAAAAATGATTGAAAAAGATGCTAAATTTACACGAAAATTAGAAGCAAAAATATCAAGATTGCTAAAAATATCAAAATTTGATCGAATCATTGAAATGGCTGAAGAAAGCCCAAAATTTCGGTGAAAATTTCCTCAAAATTAACCTAAAATTAAAAGTTAAATTTATCTAAAATCTAACAGTTATAGCAAGAATTGTGATGAAGCTGAATCTGATGTAACGTTAAATAGGAAAATGTTTCAAGATGAAATTCATGCGCTGAATCCTTGAAATTTTTGTATATGATAATAATGGACTAATAATAATAATAATGATAATAACCTTGACCATGAAGATGAAAATTGGAATTGAAATATTTCTCTTTGTATAAATTGAATTGTGAGTTTCTCTCAGTTTCAATTTCATCCTTTTTCTTCTTCTTTTTTTTCTTGTCCAAATTCAAAGACTTATCATTAATACATTATTAATAAAAGGAAAGCATTTAATAAAGCTCAATGTTGCGCACCGTTAATCAATATTAAATAAATACATTAAAGATTGATTTTGATGCGACAAAACTTGAAGTTATCTCAAGTATTCCAGTTTATCAGATAACCCAAAAAACCTAATCAACATGTACATTGTTGGACAACCATTATAATCAAATGTACTCAATGATATCCAATGTTAAATGAATCTTTCAGATTGGATAACTTTCAATGAACATGATAGACTTCATGAGGGAACACAAAATGTTATGATTATCAATGTAACTGACACATTCCATTATCATCTTCATCATGAGAATCATTTTCATCGACTTTTCCTTTTCTTTCAACAATCACTTTCCATTGTAATCAAATGTACATTTTTGTTTAATCATTTTTTTACGTAATTGAATAAATTAAATCATTCCTAATTGATAAACTGTTAATTACTAGCACAATTAAAGGTCAGTGTGAGCTCAAGATTTCAGGGAAAGAACGAAAGTGTTCATTTCAAGTAAACTTGGATTAGCTTGAGACTTTACTCAACACTTGACTTATTTAGACTTGGATTAACGGTTATATCAACTAAACCAACAGTTAAATATATTCATGAGTTGATTTTTGGTGAAACTGTGGATTCTGTTGATTGTTGGTAATCTTGTTTATCTGTTGACTTTTTACCTTTAATCGAGTTGCTTTTTAACTCGTTTAATTGTAATGTTGGATTGTCAATCAAAAGATTAGCTTGATGTATAATCAGGGTAAATTGGGTAACGGTAGCAACTGGTCATTCAATATTTCTGGTTTTCTGGTTAAACATTATAATTTAAGTCTCGGAAGTTTAATAATGAAAATTGATCGGTTTTGATTATTGTCAAAAGCAGAGACGGAAGAAGGTTGAAGATTCTTGATTTACCAATATTTCAGGTATTTATTGATTGATTATACAATATTGCGTTAACAATGAAAACTTTTTATTGCCAATTTAGGCTGTAAATGTTGATTGTAATCAAAGTAAAGCAAGATTAACCTTTAACCAAATAACCTTAACTCATTGGAAATATCCATTAGTAATTATTGTTGTCTCAATTAATGATCATTTCATTTGATTGGTTCAATAATTGAAAACAGTTGAACACTTAGTAACAGTTTGAGTTGAAAAATTGAAAGCTTAATTTCTGGTTTTCTGGTTTTCTGGTTCAACGCTGCGATCTAAAGCAGACTATCGCGAGACAATTGATTGAAAATTAACATTATTTAATTACAATTTGATTATTCTCTTAATGTTGAAATGAATTTCAATGATTTTACTTTTTGTGAAATGATCATTTAGTTTGAAACTGTGATTTGGATTATTAAAGCAAGATCAAAAATCGGATCAGCTGAAAGATTGGGTTATCAGGCTGAATTATTGTGCGAATGGAAATATTCTTATGATGAATTTTGAGGTAAAGGTTATTGGTTTAAATCAAGAAAATGGTTTCTCCAACTGATTAGGTTACCAAGTAATTAGTGTTTCAATGTTAACACTTGAGATGTGTCTAACATAAACTCTGACTTACCAAATTAACACTCTGTGATGATATCAGAGGTTCACAGTCTCACTTTCAGTGTTTCTTTGTTTAGTCTGTATGTTAACCAGTTTTGTTTTGTATTTTATAGTGTAAGCCTGATTTAATTGTGTTTAAAGTATCAAGTGAATCAACTAAATCAACAAAATCAACAGTCAGCTACTTAATTAGATTGTAATGTTATTATGTTTGCTCAAAGTGAATGTAAATATTTGCTTTGTAAAGTTGCTGTTACATGAAAATGTATCACCAACAGACTATCCAATCCTGACTCTTCACTATCACGTGTTTCCCGGCTTCTTTTAATGGCGTCGTTACCCAAAAAAAACTGGTAAATGTAAAATGTTATAAATGTTAATGTTTCAAGATGAATCAAATTGGTTTACAAATTTAATTTCAAAAGTCATCAACACCAACACCATCTCTAACGGTATAACTAACGTTATTAACATTCCCATCATTATCATTAGTGTATTATCATTACAGTTATGAGGAGAAACCATTACCTTTTTACTGGTCTTACAAATTTCTTGCAATCTAAAGTTAGTCAAGTCAACCACAAACACACAACCCAAAACCAAAACCAAAACCGCCATCAAAAACCAACATATCAACAACCACCATGAACCATCATCATCATCATTAAATTTACTTTCACTGTAAGTAATTTGTACAACACCAGGAAAAAGTGTTGATCAACAGATTATCAAGAGAATTTTTCATTTCCATGTTTTCTCTTTTTTTCCATCTTCTGTTTCTGTGTATTCCTAATGATCTTCATCTGATAAGTGATTATGATTAGTGTAACAAAGGTAAATTATGCATTTTCAACATTAGCTATTTTTCCTATACCTTTTCAGGGTAAATTTGACATCACGTTGATTATGATAATGTTCTGGTGAACTCTTGGAATAGCCAATGAGTTGACTTACCAGTTTACTGGGTTAATTTTGCATTCTGTGATGAACAGAGGGACAATTTGTATTTATCTTGAAACTGTTCCTGTTCATGTCCAGTTGAGACAAGGTTAAAGCAATAAACATGAAATCGGAACTAGAATCCGGGTTCAATTTTGGTTGTGTCGCATTACTTTTCATGTTAACTCATTACAATACTTGTGAAACTTGATGACTCAAGTATACAAATGAACAGTTTCCAACGGAAAATCACTTAATGAGTATCTGTTAGCAATTATCCTCTGTCATTTGATTTCTTTCAATCACTGGATTAACACTTGTTACATCTAATATTTCTGGTTGACATGTATTCACATTAGCTTTAAACTGGATCCATTTAGTCATGAAGTAATCTGTAGAGTAGGATTCAATTGAGTCTAGTATTTCAAGGGAATCACAACTCAATAATGTGTGTTAAATGATTAAACTAAACTGTTAATGTAAATCATTGTAATGTGATACAAGTAATGGTAACAATTGTCTCCCACTTAATTTAGATTAAACAAATCAAGTGAAGAGGTTAATTATTTTCTACTTTTGAAAGCAAACGCAACTGGTAATCACCAGGAAATGATTGAAATTGATTCGTTTCCCCTGAACCATTATTTACCAGTAAGTTTATAATTAAAAACCAACATCAAGTTAATTAGTGAAGCTAAAGTGGATTTAAATACAAAAAAATAACAGAAATGACCACCTAATGGCCATTGAATGTTTTGATTAGTTGATAATCAAAACTATAGATACATTGTGAAACTTAATCTAATAATTGAATCTGTTCACCTTTTCAATTATGTAAGCTTTGAAATAAAAATCATGATGAGAATGATAATAATTACGAACTAAATGACTATTACTTTCTCAATTCAATTCTGAGACAAGGTAAAACAATTAAAAGTTATATCATTATCAACCTTGGTGAAAGAATATCTTCATTTTCTTGTTCGTTTTTTTTTCAGGTTCGAGTTCATAAACATGGGAACACGCAGAATCTACTCAAATAGATTGTCCTATTATCATTCACCAGCAGCATAAAAATCATCATCAACATGTTGATTATTTACATTACAATCTAATGTTGCTTAACTCATTTTGATTAATCTTTGGGTCAAGGTAATTTCAGTGTCTATTTCAAACTAAATATCATTAAATTTTGCTTCCATGTCTGTATTTATGTCTATTTTCATGGTTACTTAGCATCATCAACATTTCTTTATCTGATTTTATTATTTCTTTTCATTTTCTTTTTTCCATATTTTTTATAGCATTTTGGTACAACATCAACGATAATTACTGGATTTGGTGCTTTCTGCTGCTACCTGGCTTTACATTATCCATCAAAGATGAAAGAAAAATGGTGTCAATAGCAATTTATTCAAAGGAATGGTCGTAAATTAACAATCTAACCAATGTTTCCAACACAATCAGGTTAATGAAAGCTAACAAATCAGTCCCTAGTTAAAGCATCACTCAGCAACCCTGAAGAGGCTGAAACACTATTTCAAGCAGATTAGTATTGAAAACGAGTGATCCAAGAACTCAAGTCTGGCCAGATTTTTGCTGCAAAACAATTGAAAGATGCTCCAGATACCTGATTTCAACTGATTACACTTTCCTTTATTAATCAAAATCCATCGTTGAAGCAGACTCAAGCAAAATTCAAGAGGACAAAATAAGAATGAAAAAAGTTGGTCATTCAAAGGATCTAGAGATGAAGACTGAAAAGACAAAATTGAACTTCAAGACTTTTGATCGATGAGACGAAATTGCAGATTTACAATATAATTTGTATTGAAAGAGTAAAGAGGAAAAATCACGATTACAAGAATTTTTTAGATTCCATTCATGAACAGATTCATTGAAACCTATCAATATCATAATGAAGTAAACAAAAGGACAATCACACCCAAGTCAAGCTAAAAGGTTAGTCCACCTTGAAGCCTCAACTCTGTTAATTTGGAAGGATGAAAATGTCTCTAGAGACAAATTTTAAAATAAGTTTAAAAAAGGTTTAGAAGAACATTTTTTTCTTGTTTTTACTCCCAATTTTAAAGAGTTTATTCAACCTTTATTTGACCATTGAACGTTTTCAATTTCAATTTGATCTCATCTTGCCTTATCCAAGCTCACTATCTTGACCTTTGGTCACTGACTTATCCTTTATTTTCACCCTTTTCATCAAAATGTCTTTTACCTTTTCATTTTCATGATTTCCCTCTTTTTTACTGCTGAATGCTGATCTTTAAGCCACCTTTGTCAGCACATTATAACAGATCTCATTATCATGTTTTATCTTCATCATGATAGCAATGTGAACAACTCGGAAAGTTGTTGATGAATCTGTTGACAGGTTAAGCGGCATAAAAAAGATTCAATGTATTCAACTCTTTTACCTTGTAAATAATATTCAAATCATCGACTAAACCTGAATCTGAAATTTCCGGTTTTTTATTAACAATGAAAATCCTGAATCATTTCAAGTTTAAAGATGATTACATCAACCGATTACATAGCAATTTGATGTAAATTGATTCCAATAACTATAGATGTAGCAAAGCTACAAATAAATCACGAACCAAATTGAACAACATTTTTTCATTTTTACGCTTCAAACACATTTTTCTTGACTTCATAAAATGATGTTATTTAATCATTGTTTCAACTCGTTTATTTCAGATTAACATTCCATGATTATCTTTTCTCAATCAATAATCACATGGAAACAAATGTGTCTTTGACTGAATTTTTATCCTAAAAAAGTATGATCAAAGCCAAACAATAACAACAACCCAAATCCAATGGCAACTGTAAATATGAGTTAATGGTTTACTGCTGTTAATTTGGGAATTAAATCTTATTAAATGGTATTAATACAATTATTTAACGACAGTCAATCAAAACTGATTATCAACTGGTACAACTTTAATGGTTAATGTTAATCTTTTAAGATGAACATTGATTTACATTTGAAATCAAGTTGGTAAAGTTAAATATAAACTGGAAACCATTTTAACTGTAAAAATACACAAAATTGTTGGTGTATATTTTGTGATCAACTAATCAACTTCAAAAAATTAGGTTTACATCTTTGACTATTTCATTAATCTAAAATGCCTTTCCATTAAGGTTTCAGTAAATTGGAACTGATTCAAGAAACAAAAATCTAAATCAATTATCATCAAGACATTTCAGTTTTACGTTTACCTTGTGTTTTTTGTTTTCCCTCTGGATAGGTTCAATATGTTGATCATTGTGAGTTGACTTCATACCAAGAATAGACATTCAGATTATGAGAGACAAATTAAAAGTAAAGAGCAAATCAGGGAAAATTCAATTACTCAGACTGAACGAGAGAAAAGAGTTTGAAAAATTTTGAAACACCAAACCTTCAATCAATTGTAATATCAGTATTTAATCTTCTTGATTGAAGTTTAGGTTTGATCGTTTGAACAAACAGCAATCATAAAAGTGAAATTAAATCATTTACTTGGGGTGAAATGAATGTACCAAATAACAGTGTAATTTAATGGAAGTTCAAGTTTACATGGAAACTTGAAACTCTACTGAAAATCATTTTTTACTCTCTCCTTTTTTTGTCATTTTTCATATTTCAATGATTGTTGTCCAAAATATCTTTTTGCTTCAATCAAAATTTAAGATTGAAAAGCCATTGTTGAACCATTTTTTAACCCAACATCGTATATAACTTTCAATTTCATTCAACAATTGGACAAAAAAGCGTATCAATTGTATTATTGTATCAATCCTTTTGTTCATTTTGTCTGATTCTAATAGTTAAATCCAACAATTGTGATAGTGTTGACAGCAAAATTGTACACCAAAGAGTCTAACAATTAGCTTTTATATTCATTGGTATTGTAACTAGAACTATACTTTCACTGGTTTAATTGTGAAATTATTCACATTGTGATTTATGTTGATGATGTTGACAACTCTTGAAGATACAAAAATGGTAAACAATTAATTTTAGATTTAAATTTGATTTTAAAAAAAATTGCTTTGTTTTCACTCGAGTAATTATGATACAAATTAGATGGCGTTAATGTCAAGTCGAAAATTTGTAAACAAATTTTAGCTTTTTTTTCATCCCAAACCAAATTATTGGGATAATTTTTTGTTTAAAATTATTTAATTAATTTAGTAATTTACTGATTGAGATTAACATGGTTTCTACAACATTAATCTTCTTTGTTAAACACCATTGTAGTGTTTGAAATTTCACCTCATCCATCTTTATTGAATTATGATCTTCAACTTGTGTTTACTAATTTTACTGTTTATTTGCTACTTGGGATAATTGCCTGTTAACTGATTGTTCAATAAGTGTGGATAATAATTAACCATTTTTGCAATCATTTTTGACTTCATTAACCTTCAAATTATCAACATTTTGTGTTAACTACAAGTAATTTTCCGACCTTCAACTGTCTGTTTTTATGTTAGTATGGATGTAGAGTTATTGTTATTTTTTTAGATTTTTATCAACACGTAATTTACCCTTTACTTTGTATATGTTCAAACTAGTCACATTAATCTGGTTGATACAAAAAAAGATTTGACTGTTTTTTTGTTCAATGATTACAAAAGTCATTTAACCAGAGTGACTATGTGTTAAATCACGTTTACTTTGCTTGTTTCACCTCATTCTCGTGTTACTTTTTCAACGATAGTTTGACTAAATTTGCTTTATTTACCGGTTACACTTTGCTTCAAAATTGGATTAGAGTTAACTTTTTTTTTGGACTTTAATGTGAAACAAAACAGGCAAAATTGAAGTCACTTTAATCACTTATGTTTGTGATTTGCACAAGCGTCATTATAAACGTTGATCAACCTTTACACACTGATTAGTAATACCCTCATCTGTTTATGGAAGAACCTATAACCCTGGAGTTTATGATTGGATGAGAGATTTTCATGGTATGAATTTCATTGAATTAGATATAATCTGAAACTTTGTGAATACATTCACCTTTGAATATGAATATTCCTTTTACCCTTCTAATGGTTTAATATCAATAACCTTAACATTTTAATGCTCATATTTCATTCTTCTTTATTCTTTTTCAGTTTTCAGTCGATCATTTTCCTAATGGCAGCCTAATCACATGGATTCCAAGCTATTACAGATGATACAATGAATAACTGGATTCTGGAAAAGATAAAGTCTCGATAAAACTATATGAATAGTGTTCATGCATTTCCTAAGGAAAGTGACCAAGACCTTTGGACAGAGAGAATCAGGTTTCCAATTTCAAAGCAAAGGAAGTTTTAAAATGGACAAATATTTTGGGTTAATTTCAAGTTCGAGGTTGATGAATATCCAAACAAATTAATAGCCCGGCTAATTACTAGGAAGATATTGAATGGCTCGAGGTCGAGCAACCACCAGCTTAGATTGATGTTCAAATTCAGAGTTTCCTTCACGCGCTATGGGCTGTTACCTCCAGAACTCGATGTCAATAATTATTTTCAAGAAAACCTTCAATTTTTATAATAGTCAATGGAGTTTCATTCAATTTTCCGCCAATGTAATCTAATGATATTTAAGAGCAATTCTGTCCTTTTCAGCTTACTTAATTGAGTCAATTCATTTCATAATTACATCAAAATGACTCAATGAATATGAAAGGTATTTAAGGTGGCTAAAGACTTGCTGTTCATTTGAAAAAACAAACCATTCATTCAATTATTAAGGTGCTTTTCAAATTCAGTTATTGAGGTCAAATAATAGTGATGAATGATTATTTTAAAGTGATTGCATCTAGATTAGACTGTTGGATAAAGCTCATCACAAATTGTTAATCCTTTCGAGGGGAACATCAATTTAAGTTCATTTATGATATTTAAATTCAGGCTCTTATTGATTACCAGAAAATTTAAAACGAGAATGATTTATTATGATTACTTTAATTATAATCATAAAAAGATGAGCTTTTATGTTTACTGAAATTGAAATTTACGTTTAAAACTGTTGATCAGCTTGATTTCAACAAAAAAATGCTGATTAACCCAAAACCTTAACCTTGTTGTGTGAGTGAAATACAATTTTGTTAAATTGCTTTATATTTCAAATTTTTCAACTAATTGTCACAAAAAAGAGATTTTTTATCAAAATTGATAATTAAGATCCAATTACTTGTTAAATACACAGTAATTAGTGTGTTGAGTTTAATTAAATTATCAACACCTTCCATAATGAAATTAAGGTAAAAAATGAATAAAGAAAATCTATTGAATCAGATCAAAAGGTCACTTTAAACTGATTGATCAATTAAAACAATAATCTTATTATTGAGACTCGGATAGTTCAAATAATAGGCATGAAAGGTAAAGAACAAAAATAAAATTCTGATTTGATTTTACCTTTTTGATTCGAGCTTGTTTTTATTGCAACTGTTAATCATTAACATTTCAATCTAAATTGTTCTTTATTTGTCTGAGGAAAATAAACATTCCAATTGATTCATGTTTGCTTGTCAACAGTATGTTTCCTATTGAGGTAGTAAACAAATTGTGGAATTGACAATAATTGTATTTGATTATAAGGAAAAGTGAAGAGAAATATGATTGTGATGATAATAGGTATAAGATAAGAATTATTTTTCATTTAAAACATATTCTTCGCCTCATAATTGCCATGATAATGTTTCTGTAATTGGTTTACCAGGTTAATTTTATTTTTCGTTTTGGCCATTTCAAGAGTTGGTTTAAGAACGAGTTGGAGAGCACAGGAAGCTGGGTTATCAAGTTATTTTGATTGCGTTTACTGGTGTTTGATGCTATGATTACTGTTTGGGAAAAGAAAAATGGAAATGAAAGTTAACAATTAGGTTGTCAATTTTGGGAATTAGAATAGTTGATTGATTAGGTGTAAATAATGAACAGTTGCTCACGTTCCTGACGATGATGGGAAAAGTAGATTGACCTTATTTGGCGATGAATGAAATTGCTTCCCAAATGCATTACGATTAAAGGTCCATCTGTGTTAGGCCATTCAACTAAGCCACCGGGTCGTCAAGTAAATCTGTAACCATAAAGTACAAAAACAACAGTTGGTATCGATTCTGGTTCGACATCAAATTACAAGTCACAGTCAACTTTCTAATATCTATTTGATCAGTTGTTATGCACCATTAATGATTGAAATAGATGTTACTGAATGATGATCACACAGCAATTGATAGAAGCCAACACTTAAATGGTTACCAAATTAGAAGCTTTGAACATAATGATAGCGATTTGTTTCCTAACCAAACGGCAGCAAATTACGTTACTCAATGAATAATAATTTAACAATCAAAACACGACAACGAAACAAGAACTTAAACGGAAGCGAAATGTTTGATTTCCTTGTTTTCCGTATCTTCCAGTAATCATGCAGGTTGATTCATCAGCAGACAACATATGTTTAGAAAAATTTACCAACTTTGGCCAATTTTCATTCGCTTTAGCTTGAGTTACATAAAAATCACACCAACCTATAAGAAGATACATAAAAAATGCAGCCAGAGATCGAAAAGGCCAAAAGTTATCGACCTCGGCAGGATTCGAACCTGCAATCTTCTGATCCGAAGTCAGACGCCTTATCCGTTGGGCCACGAGGCCGAATCGATAAAAGATCACCATCCAAACTCTACATAAAGAAGCTCCACCAAAATGGCGCCTAAAGTACACCGGTACTCATTGAAGGTGGGTTATGATGATACTTTTTGCTTTTTTAGATGTAACCAGCGAATATAGTAAAGTTGAATCAGAATTAGATGAAATCTTTTGACATCGATGGTCACTAAATATATTCAAATCAATCAGTGAATGGCCTTTGTTTCAAAATTAAGCTTTGAAACACTCTTTTGACAGAAACTGCTGACATCTCCAGGGTTGATGGGTTCTGTATCGTTTTATTGTATCTAATGATGGGTTAATAACAAAATATAGCAAATTGAAAGTAAAAGTAAACCAATTAAGAAAGACAATTATAGATTGGAATTAAGTTTCACATGTTTAATTAAAGAGATATTAAATTTGAAGACGAAACTGATATAACAAATCGGTTGATCCGACGATTCAATTTTGGCAAGACAAGCGCCATCTATTGAACAGTTTTTGTACATTTCAATGCAAAAGTTTAATGTGAATGTATTACTTACTGTTTGTCCAAAAAGTAAATTAAAGAAATTAAATAATCTTACTCTTTCAATCGTCTTAATTTTTAATCATAAGCTTTAATTACTCTCTTGCACTGTGCAACTTAAGATTTTGTTATCCAATATTTGGGTAATTACTGTTAAATTGATGGCAAAAAGTGAAACTGAACTCTTGTCATCTCCAATATCCTTCAATTTACTCTACGAACTTGTGATTTGTGTCATTTTTATGCATTTGATTACCATTTAAGTATTCAATAACTTGTTTATTTGTACCTTGTCCTTGTATTTGATAATGATTATGTTAAATGTGTATGCTTAGAATACAAAAAAGATTCAATTTTTGATTTCATACAAAAAGGGGAGGAAAAAATATTACATTTGAAGGTTTACATAGAAGTGGCAAAAAAAACATTTGCACAATTCATCATATTCATATTAACAATGTGTCTAGCAACAATTATCAAAAAAATATATGATTTAGTTTTCACATTGGCATACAAATTAATTTTGTTGCAATACTAATCAATATTTACTTATTGTATTACCTTGTACTACCTTAACCTAGTGGAAACCTCACTATCAGATGTCGATAGATCAAGCTTACTGTTATTTAGGGTTAACTTATTGCTATTCAATTTACAATCAGTATCACTATTAGCATCGTTATTGTCAAGGATGAGTGTTGTTTGCTGAATAGTATCACCATAAGTATCAAATGTCTTATGTGGATACAAAGATGATGGTTGAAATGATTGTTGTTGCTGTTGGTAGGTGAATTTATTGCGCGTAGCCATTTGATATCTATTGTGAGGGCTTAATGAGTTTCGTCCAGATGAACGAGTATAAGTTGATGTTAGAGTATTGTTATCGCTACGAAGAGTACTTCCCCTGATTGGGTATAGGCGCGGCAAACAGAAGCAAATAACGTTTGTTAACCAAAGGACGGCTGAATGTTTACTGTAAGCAAAAGAAAAGTATTTTAGTCCAATTTTCTGACTTTTTGAAAATATAAGCACAACTCACCGGAAATTTCGGCAAACATGAGTTGAAAATAGACAATAAATTAATGGATTAGCAGCACTATTTAATGGAGCTAAGCTTTGAATGAAGGTTGATATGGCCACAGTTGTTTGCGTTCGAGGTATCTGTTGATACACTTGGAGAAGATCCCAAACAAAATATGGACTCCAACAGAGTATAAAGACTGCAAGTTAGCAAATAAAAAGGATAAATGAATTAGTCTAAATAAATAAGTTTAAGTTAATAGCAAAAACTCACCAAAAATGATTACCAGCGTCATTTTAATGGTTTTAATTTTAGCTCTTGGTATAACTCCTCTCGAACTCATCCGTTTAAAATCAAGATCAGCTGATTCAAAGCCAGAAAATCGAGCTTCATTTTTAATATTTCCAGTATAATTAGGGTTATTACTTTTAAGATTATTATTAATATTATTTTTACCATTAGAAGTAAGATGATTAGAACAGCAATTGTTTTCAGAAACTAAAGAGCAACCATTCAAATCTGGAGAAGAAGAAAAAGAGAGGGAAAAAAAAGTAAAGAAGGAAAATTAGAAAAACATAATCAGATAATGAAAAGCAAATCCAAATAAAGCTGATTGTTGTTTTTGTTGAAAATTGAGGGAACTATAATTAAAAAAAATTACAAAAATGAAATTAATACTTACGTTTGACCTTTTTCCTAGGCGATGAACCCATAAGCCTAGATTTAGTCCAAATGGTGTGAACAATGATTGAATAACAGGCGGAGATGATGACTGTTGGTATAAAGAAAAGAGATGTCGCCACCAAAGTCATGTAAATTTGCCATTCTTCTGGTTCAAGATGAATCCAACATTGAGGTTTATCTTCAATATTATGAATTTTGTACAGAAAAAGGGTTGGAATTGAAAAGATTCCCGATAATGTCCAAGCAAAGGCAATCAAAAATTTGGCTCGACGAGCTAAAAAAGAGTAGCAAGTTCAATAAAACGAGAGTAAATAAAAAAATTGAAAGCTTAAAAATAGAGCAACAAATATGACAACAAACCAAACCTCTAATTGTAAAATTTAATGGATGTGTAATGGCATCATATCTGTCAATACTAAGTGCAACCAAAACATAAGTTGAACCATAAGTTACAACAACCTAGAAAAAATGGGTAAAACCAGAAAAATGATAAGCCATTGAAAGAGACCTGAAAATGACAATTACCTGAGCAAATTTGATTGCCTTACAAGCCGTATCTCCAGTGTAAAAACCAACAGTAAATCGCCAAACAATGTCCGTTAAAACATTGATTAAACCAACCAATAAATCTGTGAAACAAAACATTAAACCATTAACTATTGAATTGTGAAAAGCTATTAATGAAAAAGCTGAAAACAAACAGCAAAAAAATCTGTTAAAACTGTTCATCTCTCGAGATTTAGAGTATAAACAATTAGATAAATTGTTGCTGATGTAAATTTTTACATTGATTTACCATTCTTTGCCCAACATTATTCAAATCAGTATTCAATATTGATTTAGTTTGCAAATTTTGCTGCTTTTATCACAATTTGCTAAAGAAAAGGTTTAAATTGAAATGAAAATTTACCAATTTTTGTTTCTCCTCTAAATATTTCTATTCAAGTTAGACAAATAAATTATGAAACAATCTCTCATGTTACCATTTATTGATCTATTTGAAGATGTTAATGAGTTAACATGTAATGAATAGTTTCCAATGACTTACCTGCAATTGCTAAATGCATTATGAAAAAGTTCATTCGAGATTTTCGTCCTTTCGATAACAGTAAAGTTCCAAGGACTGAGCAATTTCCGAAAACAATCATTACAAAAATAATCCAAAGAAAAGTCAATTGTTCAGTCTGAATGTTGAGAGAAAAGAGAAGTTCAAGATTTAAGTTGATTTCATGGCATTTGAATCTGTTTATCATTTTGACCAAATTTCAAACCTTGACTTTTCATCAATTCAAATAAATATGCATTTTCGAAAGTTCAGCAAATTTGTTTTCCATCGCTTTTGAGTTCAATTTTTTCGAAAAATTTTCATGCTGTTGACTCAATTCCAGATGAAGTTTTAACCAATTTCAAGATTTCAATTTCTGCTTTCAATCGAATTTGATTGAAAAGAATTTGAAAATCAAATTTAAAGATTCAAAAATTGTCTTCGATCAGAAGCTTTTAAAGATTCTGAGATAATTTCCATTCGATTTCGGAAAGTCATGATTTCAAGTTTTCCATCAAGTTAACATTCATTTTGGATTTGAATTTTTCAACAGAAATGTTGAAATTTCTACAGATTTTCGCTTCATTTCCAATCCTTTTGCAAAATATTTAATCATTCAAATGCTAATAAAAGATGAATTCAAGAAAATTTCCATTTTTCTGTTTCCAAGTAAATCTTTTGAATTTTGCATCAAATTTTTGCACTCAAAATGAGATTAATTTTTGATAAACTTGGAGGAAGAAAAGATTTTGAACTTGGAATGAAACTTTCTTGAAATGATTATTTATTGATATTTAACAAGTTCTGGTGATTGTTTTCAAGTCGACACTTTGATAACTTAAATGAATGGTTAAATATAATTGTCGTAATTGGTTCATGGATTGATGATTAATCTGTCTCGACTTTTTTTTCTTCATCACACAATTAATGATCAAAGTTTCGTCTAATGATGTTATTAATTATAAAAGTGTAATAAATGATTCCCAGCATTTTCAGGGTAACATTGAAGGTCAAGAAAAGGAAGGGGAAAAAGTGAACACAAAGTAAACAATTGCATGATATTAATAGAAACATTGGAATAGAATGTGAAAGATCAGAATTTTTTCCTTTTTTCTTCCTTTTCTTCCTGGTTCTCTTTTTCACCAATTCTGGTCAAAAGTGAATCGGAAAATGATCAATCAAAATCTGATGGTTAACCTCATCACAATCATTATCATTATCGGATAATATTACAAGTTTCGAGTGAAACAAAATGATGATGATTCAAGGATAAAACATAGATGATAATATCGACAACGATTTTTCATCCAATCCATGATTTGTTCACCCAGCTACAAGTAGACTTGTCTAGTCATGCTGAGTCTTTGAAGTGAAAAAACAATGAAAAAAAAAACTGTTACTGGGAGTTGAAGAGGAAAAGCTGAAAATCATGAGATTCAGTCTTGGAACAAAAACAATCCATCAAAGCCTATTACACTCGATAAGTTATCAACATTTATCGTCTCAATTCCCAGCATTTTCCGCCTTCTTGGAGTTCTTCTTTTCTCACATTTGATAAATCTTGCCATTTGAATCAATCTTTATCAAAATCAAGTGATAACTCGATTCTAACCTTGATTTGATTTTAACAACTATTGTCATTAATCTCATTTTTTACATTCTTTTTCTTGAACCTGAGTATTCAGGATTTGAAAGGCTTGAATAATCTTCTGAGTTAATAAATTGTGTTTGATTTGTACGCAATTGAAGTGAAAAGTTTAAAATTCATGTTTCCATCATAATTTGATAATCATGAGTTAGTAATGAATGTATCAAGACGTTTGTTTTTGTAGTTAATTTGTTATTTTAGTTTGTCTGTTGATAAGCATTAACAGTATTTTTGTTAGCATATTAATAACAAGCAATGTGAATATTTTGTCATTATTTTGATGTTTCATTATGAAAATTGTGAAAAGCTTCAAGTATCAGATTCCATGAAGAAACTCATATTTTGTTATCAGTTTATTAAGGAAATTTTTTATTCTCTTTTTTTCATTAACTGAATGTTTATTGCAACATTTTCTCGTAATAAACTCCATAATTTGGATAAGAATCTTGTAAGAATCTTGAATCAATAAAACTTCAGCAAATATTTTGCTATCGCAACTCTTTATTGGTCAATATTTAGGTGATAAACATTGAAAAAATTTTTTCCTTCTCATCTGTAATTTTGTCCAGTTTAGACTTTTCGACTCATGAAATATCTGTTTTGTCAATAAAGAATATTTTTATGCTAAAATGATTGAATAAAATTCATTTCTTGTAAAATTGAAATGAAATTGCAAAGCTTCAAGCTAATATTTATCTACTGATGTTGTGTCCAACTTTAAAGGTTTATTCGATTACATTGGTCAAGAATTAGTCTGCCGTGAGATTCTTATCCTTACATTCATAATCATTGACCATTAAGTTAAATATCAATGTTATATTGAAATATTTTATTAAATATTTACATTAATTTACAATTTGAAAAAGGCGGTTATGTAAGCAGAGCTAGGGAAACCATGGCTATTCCCGCTTGTATAAAACACATGACCAAAGAGTTGAGCTTTTTGATTAAGTCATTGGTTTAATTGTTTAAATCTAATCTATTAATGTTGTTAATTATTCAGTAATTATGTGTTTTCTGTTTTCTTAGTTTGTCACCGTTCAAGTGTTTTTCAAGTTCGTTTGGCTGTTCGTTAAATGCTGTCTCTTGAAATGTGTAAAACAATTATTTACTTGTTGAACTGCTATCACAAATAAAATGTCTGACTATTTGTGATTATGGATATTTAATGGATAAATGGTAAAATAATGGACCAAAAAAGATTTTCTCTTGAATTTCTTTTTCTAATCTCATCTGAGAAAAGGCAGACACTTTAGAATGTTTTGATCGATTTTTCATCCTATGTTTTACAATGTTATTTATGTTGATTTATTCACCATATAATCATCATCTTTCATCGTTACCTGTCAACAAGAGTATGTAAACTTTACCAATCAATCATTTCCAGTTCCTTAATTGTTTATCAATTATTTATTCGCCATTAAAGATGGATACTGCAGTAAGCAAGAAAAAACAGAAATGGATAAGAACATGAAGAAGAAGAAGAAAACAAAGGAAAAAGATCAACAATTATTATCAAGTAAGTATACACATTGAAGTGACAAAAAAAATGTTGAAGGCTACGATAAAATGATTGATTGTTTAACAATCAATTGATTGGAAGCGTGAAATATTCTCTTTTTGCCATTCTCTTCCTTAATTGAAATGCTCAATCCTTTTCAATGGTGAGAAAACAATTTATTTGTTGATTAACTTTCAATTTGTTATTTCTTTCTTTAGATTTTATCACTTTTTTAATACCATCTTCTAATCTGGTAATGATCATAGGTATGGACGTGAAAGACCAAGACACTGACGAATAAGAAAACAAAGAAGAGGACGAAGAGTACGATTGCACCGACGAGGAAAAAGAAATCCCTAAATCAACTAAACTCTATTAACTACGAAACTATTCTGAGCAATCTGTTGATGCGGATGGTATACAATGTTAATTACAGAAGAAAGAAACAATTTCTTCAGCTAAATTGATTCCTTATATTCACACAATCTATCTGATCCTTGGTGACCTTTTCCCATAATTTGTGCCGTTGAATGTTATCTGTTTCATTGGATCAACTGAATCCTGGGACAAATAGTTGGATACAAGATAAACAAGATTATATTCAAGTTGAATGAAGGAAGGAAAAGAAAGCAAAAATTAAATCTCGTTAATCTTTACCTTTTTCATTAGTCAGTCTTTTTTAGCAACTTTTATCATACAAATCTTATTCAATGTGAATCTGTTACCAGGCCTAAGCTCAACTCGTGGATAACAAACAGCATCAGAACAACATTCAGCAAATGAATCGATTGCTTACCATGAAAACCCCCATTTCATGAAATTCAATCTTATTTATTATTTAGATGAAAAAAAGCATAAATAGACTGAAAATTAATATGAAACTAAAGAGCAAATCTCAAGTTTTCATATAAATATTAGATTTTCCAAGCTATTCAATGTTCAAATAATTAACTTATTATCAACTCTTGTAACTGGATGATTATAAAGGTGAATGTCAAGCTTATGTAAATTGAATTTGCTCCTTTTTTATTCAACAATGGATTCAATTGTCATCAAAATGGTTGATAAATTTAATGTGAATTGAAAATTTAACATAAACATTCTCAGGTAACATTCAACCTTGATTTATTTTATGTCTTTTATCATCGATTTACACTGAACATTTTTGATTAGATTTTGTTCACTTTACCTTCAATTCAATTCAACTTTATTTGTAGCTTTAATTGTTTGCCCTTTTTAGTTTCTTTCATTATCAAAGCAAACAATTTGAATCATTTAACTCTAACAATGGTGAACAAAACTTAAAACATCAATAGAAGAAGCAAATGCCCGAACTTTCAACTGATATTTGTTAGTATTTCAACTAATAGGCAGAGTATTTCATCTAAATTGCTCCATTCATATGCATCAACGATAGCTTAATTTTGATCTCCACTTTGATTTCGAGAAAATTTTCATTCATTAAAAATTCCATCCAACGGTATTTCCATTTGAATTAACTCGATCATTATCTGAGCAATTATTATAGATTAGCTTTAATAAATAGTATTTTGATGTTATCATTTCATTTTTCAATTCATAATTTCTGGAGATTTTACTTTCAATTTTACAGCTTCTAAACATTCGATATGAACAGTTGCAATTTAATCAAATGAAAAAGTCTCTTGGTAATTGTTGTCACAAATTCACAACAGAAATAAATTATAATAACATTTGTTTCGACTGTAGTTGTGCATATATTGTCTTTACCTTGTTGCATATCAATAGGCTTACAAAAATTCAATAACTGATTGTTATGATTGAGTTGATCATTACTTTACACTAGGAAAGTAACATTGTTGTTGTGAGATGCTTTAAGGTATCGAGGTAACTGTTTAATTGAAACCTTGTATTGAGTTAACAGTTGAAGGTTCATGGAGATAAAGGTGTTTATAAAGAGAGTGATCATGAGGGAATGCAACTAGGAAAGGAAATTGAATGAAATAAAAAAGAAGAAGCTGATTGATTTAATTTATTCTGAAAGCTTAGAAATTAAGTTTTTGTTTTTCTGTTTCCAACTTTATTGAGTATCATTTCAATGCAGATTGATCAAGATTTCATGGCAAGTCAAGAAATCAGTCAACAAGTCAACATGCTAAAAAAGGTTGATATCTATGCCTTTAGGAGATGGTTTACTAGCCCAATTTTGTTCATTGCCTTACTTGCTATATTTGTCAACATGAAAAACAATCCTCTGCCTGGAAATGATTAGCTTTTCTGTCAAAATTAATTCACATCAAATGAAACTTTGAAATAAACATCAACTAATCACATTTCTAAAGCTAACCTTGACTATTAACCCGATCATTTAATTACAAGTTAACCTTATCAACTATGTTTCATTGATGAGTAAAATTGATAAACTTTGGATACAAAAAAAGTGTTTTATTCAATTTTTAGCTTCAACACCATTTTGATTGGCAATGCAAATAATTAACCAGACTTGTGATTACCCTTGAAAATAGGAATAACAAGCTAAACAGTTCATAATTCAATCTTTCAATCTTGTTAGTCTTCACATTTCATTGAGACTTACTGTCAGAGAAAGGAAAATATCTGTATCCATTTCAAGGATTGAATGATATTGAAATTGTGTGATTACAGATTCATTGTTATGTATAATGTTTTCAGGTTCACTTGACGTCAGTTTGTTACAAAACTAGAAATACTTTTCTTGAAAATTTACAATTTCCAATCATGATTACTTGAACGGAAAAGCTTTAAATTTACTTTTCCAGGTTTTAACATCAAATCTTTCAAGACTTGAATCACAAATTTTCATGCAGATTAAATCTTCATCTTTTTTCTTATGAATCAATTAGACAGTTTGAACTTGAAGCGATCAAAATTGTGAGAAATGTAACATTCGATGAGCTGAATACTCAAGATATAAAGAATGGAATCGCAATAATGATTGTAACCGTTACAGCAATCAATGACGATATGAAATCTCGAGTGATCATGAAAATGCCTCCAAAAGTGAATCCAATATTATTCAAGCTCATCCGATAAAGAAATAGTGAAATCTGTTGAAAATTGAAAAAAAGCCAAATAATTGTTTTAGATGGCAAACTGAAAAGTCTAGAAGCACAAATATTCACCTCATTTAGATCCTTAAACGAATCAGTGCGAAAGGTTAGTTTGTACAGGGTTGTATAAAATTCACGAGATTTTGTTGTTATTGCAGCAATTGGAATGATAAGTAAAAACAATTCAGCGATTGTACCAAAGCAATCGATTAACAAGAGAATCAAATCGGACTGTTCGTGTTCAATGAACAATATATTGTAAATTTTAACATTTAAAATTGAGACATAATATGAAAATATGCCAAATAAACAGGGATTGAGGAATGAACCCAATTTTTTAACCAAACGATGAGTTAACACGTATTTTACTCTCAAATCTTGAATCACTTGAATGTCCAATTTAACATCGTTCATCTTCAAGTGTTTATCAATAATGGCAAGTTGATTGTTGATGTAATGGAGAGCAGATTGAGATGAAAATGCGGAATCAATGATGATGAAGTCTTGCATCAAACAAGCTGGGTAAAGAATAACAAGAACGAAAACTCGAGACCAAAAATGCAGTGAAGGTTCACTCAATAGCATTTCAATCATACACTCAAAGGAACTAACCCATGTATAAGGCCAAGGGGCTGCATCGAGTACCAGGTCGGGGATCCACATAAAAAAGTAAGTAATTATGATCATTTTACGGTAACTTGATCTTTGGATTGCAAAATAACATCGAGTTGAATGGTCAAAGTCAATCATTAGCAATTGCCATATTTGGTGAACTTGATGTATAAATTTCTTGTCAAATTTAAAGTGAAAAAGGCAAATGAGGTAAATTTCAATGAGACAGTAGATTATGGTTTCTGGACTAACAGAAAAGGTTGAATCCAGTGAAGTTTCGCTTAATTTGACCAAAAACCTAAATTGAGTTGAAAGAAGCAACAAAACAAATAAACCATTTCCTAGCAAACCATTTGTTGATGAAACAATCAGGTTAACTTTGGATGATAATGAATTCATAGACACTTTTGGGTACATTTTCTTTGGTTTATTTGACATCCTGTTGAACAATTTGTTTAAAACATACATCTTTGATACGTATATTGAATTGAATTCAGTTTATTCAGGATACATTTTGGCATATTGATTGACTTTACATTTCAACCAATTTGTTTCATTTTTCAATCAATGGACGAAAACATTTTCCCCATAACATTATCACTCTGAATTTCAGCCATTTCTTTATGTTTCATTCATTGATTGTTTATTGACTGGATTATAAAAATGTGTTGACAATTTTTTCATACATTTTTAAATAACATTGAATAATACTTAATATCCTAAACCAGAATTTAGTTTATAAAGGATAAATGGAAAAACATTTGCCAATATCAAAAACAGATTCCCGATCATGACTAATGACAAAATAACAATTTCTTTTCGTTGCATGCGATTCAAGCTAGTCTGAAAAGAACTGAATTCTCGGTGAAAAAACCATCGTCAGAATAAGAAACCCAAAAGTTGAAATCTTTGGCTTTTATCACTTTAGGATATTCATTTAAGAATGAAAAAAGCCTTTCTTTAAGCAAACGGCCAAAAATTTTCATTCGAGCTGAGAGTTGATCCTTTGTTATTTGTAGAGGCGTGAATTCCTCAGCAACCTGATTCTGATTCTTCTCTAGTTAGTTGAATAGTCATTTCCATTTTTATTCCGGATATGTTATTTTCGGACATGTAGTTCATGGCTTTCAGGCTGTGTAAAAATTTTCTTTGGATTCTTTTAGTTTGATCACAATTTTTATGCAAATATTTGATGCATTTTCTTTCTGTATTGTATATTAATGTATCGATATAGATTGAGAATAGTTGAGAATTTAAATTCAATTTTTTATCACATTTTAAATTGAATTGAAGATTGAGATGGCCAATCTTGTGGTTTATCATCTGTGTGTAAGTTGAACACTTTTTTAACACACAAAATTGGAAAAGTGTACCAATTTTGTTGTGGGATGAACCCAATCTTGACACAACTCACCGACAAGACTCATCCATCAACAAGTCAGGATGTAAAGAGGGTTTCGCCATTACTTTTAACATGCTGATTCCAAGTGCTCAACAAGACTTACATGGCCTAGTTACGAGTTCAATTTGTGCATCTTGATTGATTAACTTTACCAGGAAAAGTACACCAGAAATTGGCTCTTGTATGGGTTCATCAATAATTAGACTGATGAGTTGAGAGACCGATGCAAGTGTTGCATATTCTGGTAACTGTTTCCCTTCAGTTACACTCGACTCTTATTGTCTCAATTTGTCAATGTAACATTTGATTAAGAGCCATTTGGATACTATTGAGTGACACATTCAAAACACCCAACTGGAAGCCAACAAAAAATACAAATTATTCAGAGGCTCATCAACATCCTCATCATCTACCAGGTAAATTCAATCTACCATTCAACCTGGTTCCATTTTCCTGGTCTTTTGTTCATCCAGTGTTTACTGTTTAACAAGGGCAACAACAAAATGAAATCAACAATCGACTTGAATATTTGATAATCCAATGAGTTACCAAATGAAGTAAAAGGTTTGATAATCAAGGAAAGAGGAAAGCACTGAGAGTTTGACTGAATGGGAAAAGGCGAGTGTCAACTTGTCGATTGACCAACATAACAAGTTGGTGGTCAATGCAACTGAATGTTGTTTTCACCCAAAGAGATGGAGATTGGATGAAGATTGATTAATATGATTAATAAGACAAATAAGGAAACAGAGTTTATTGATAGTCAATTTTTGTGCTTCTGCTTCTGTCTTTAACTTTAATCAATAAATTATCATCTAAATGTTCATTAATCTAATTGATGAAACATTTACGCGAATTGACCTCGGATAATGATTTAAACATACTGGCAAATTACAACTCTAATACCGTTTTTCATCATCATCATTACTTGTGGCTATTAGTTGAATAATATGAAAGAAAATGATATCAAAGATGTTCCAACTATTCAATGAATTCATTATTTTCAGCTTTCACTTCTTTACTCTTATCAATTGTA